TCGTGTTATGATACGAGATTTTTGTAAAATTATTTTCTAAAAATATTAAGTTTAAAAATTCCGTATACATTCCGTATGATTAATTTTTTCCGTATACATTTCGTATACATCAGTTTTTTTAAAAAATGTTCAAAAATGAATTGCTTATTAAATATACGGAATTTGTATACGGAATCTACATAAAATGTATACAAAACGTATTTCCGTATACATATTTCTTATAGGGCTTGTAAGCTGATTTAAACTAATAGTACTACATAGTTTAATACGGATTAAAAATTCCGTAGTAAATTTTACTATAGAGCTTGATATAGTTATGTTGACAGAACGCCCCATCATCACGTGCCGGACGGACAGACGGTGTCACCTTTGCGAATATTAGTACGATTTGGCGATCGGAGAATTGTAGTTCAATTTATTTATTTAATTTATGTAAAATTTATCTCCATTTATTTATACCCGGCGTACCACATGGATAAGTACAAAAGTAAAGTGTGATTGGCGATTTATAAGTTGACTATCAATCTTTTATTTAGTTTATTTAGAGAAAAATAAATTGAATATAGTAGTACATTAATATTTTTTATTATAATATATTCTAGTCTATAAAAAGAAGTGAGAAAAAAAAAATTATTATTTGTATTATTATTATTATTATTATTATTGATGTTATTTTAATTATTATTAATGGTAAAGTAAAACTGAAAAAAATTAATAACGAATAAATAATTAAGGATGTTCGAGAATTAATGTCTTTTCCTATCCATCTCATCGAAAAGCTCATTACTAATAAGAAAATTCGAAAAAAATAAAAGAATTAGTAAATTACTTGAAAATAAGTACAAAAAAATAATAACAATACTGCATTTATAAAATATAGAAAATTTGATAATTACAGCATGCTTCTGATCTCCGGATCATTATCAATGAAATGATCTATTGCTTCTCCGAATTCATTGGTTGCATCGTTAGTGTTTTGTATGTTTGTAGAAATATGTTGAAATTCTTTATTTTTATACATGACCTGGAGCTTGTATAACAGTTCGAAAAGTGGCTTATATTTATAATATTTTTTTTTGAGGTTTTCCATCCCGGTCATCTTGGCCATCTGATCACGTTTGAACATAAAAAAAGAATTTTGAGGAGTTGAACTGTTTGGTATAATAAGCTCTTTGATTGGCAATGTGAATGTATATTTCATTTTCGCCGCTAGCTCGTTGATTTCTTGGATTAATGATTGGGGATCTTGGATCGTATCAACAAAAATAAATCTTGGTAATTGTCGAGACATTTTTTTTATTTTTTTTTAAAGAGTATTTAATGAAAGTATTGATTTAAAATTTTATATTTAAATATTTAAGTAAGAAAGTTAATAAATTTAAGAAAAAAATAAAGCTGAGGAAATTTCGATTCTATATATACTTGAAACTAGAAGGTAAAACTCTTCCGTCATTTTTTTTTTTTTTTATGATCACAAACATTTAACTAATGTAACAGCCTAATGAAAGTTTATTAACTTGATGCACATTTTTGTTAAAAACGTTTTTTCAAACGTTACGACCATTATGTGATTACCAAATTAGTTTATAAAAATAAAACTCTTTAATTTATTTGTTAATTTATCAACTTAAATATAATTATGTTCTGGAGACCTGTTTCCATATGATTTTGTTTTTCATTTTTGAAATGATTTGATAATATTCTCGTTAAAATTTTTCCGGAGTTTAATTAGTCGTACTTGTATCACAGAATTTTATTTATTCATGTACCGAAACTCTAAGTGATCCCACGCATAAAACATTTTTTTCCGATACAAATCTACCCATCTCGTGACAATTGTTAGTTGTTTCAGGAATGTCCGAGAAGAAAACGTGTAACACGTAACGGATCGACAACAAATCTAGCCAATCAAATTTTGTTCCCTTGTTCTTTCAACAACGAAACAAGATTCGTGAAACATGAAGCAATACGGCCGATACTCACTATTAATTTCGAAATTCTACACCCGAATTTCGCTTGGTTGGATAGAAAATAAGCTATGGGCAGCCTTGAGATCATTTTAACACTCATTTCTAAATAAGTTTCATATGATAGAACACAATAATAATCACTTTTCATAACGCACTTTTCGTAAACATTTGGAATATTCTATGTCAGATTTGGTTTGAATGGACATTTTACTAATAAAAAAATATTTTATCTACATATAATTGTGAACCCATCAGAATTTTTTATTGTTGGGGTAAAATCTGCATTATAAAAAAATGTTGATCATTTGCATCACATTAGTGTATGAGAATTTTATATTATTAATAAAAGTTTTTTTTTTTTACGACTAAAAGGGGACTCATGCAATAGTGCAAATCCGATAGAACATTGTATACTAACTAAGAGTACTAAAAATGTAGGAAACTAGACGCAATGTCGTAAAAAACAAAAGTCCGTCGTGAATCCATATGATGATGAATCACGTGATCGCGTCCCTGTAAAAATACATTTTCATTGAAAATAAGAAAATGATTGAAAAATATATTAAAATTGAAATCAATGAAAAAGTGGGAATGTATCTAACTGTATAAGGTAAACTAGAGTTATTCTTGTATTCATTAAAATGGACACAATATATGTTATGATCTATATTGAATCATTAAATCAAGGGCAAGGTAAAATTACTGACGTCGATGCCTTGTTATTGCTGTTTTTAAAATGATTGAAATTGATGTAAGGTGGTGACAAAAACAAAAAAAAAAATTTCAAAAACATATACAAGAAAAAATATGTATAATACAAAATCATAGAACATACTTTTATTTTTTGTGTTGAAATTTTATTACGCTCTCAAAAGTTGATCCAAAATATCACATGATTGTCAATCATTTGGGGGTTTGTACCTTTAAGGTTTTTTACTTTTAGCACAAAAAGTTCTATGATTTTGTGTTACGTTACAATACATTATATGAAACTTGACAGCCATTTCGAAAACGACAACAATATTAATTGTTAATATTAATATTGTTGTCATTGATGTTTGCTTGTACTTGCAAAATAAAAAATATTAAAATTTACTGTCTTCGCAAACAATGATTAAATAGAAGGTTAAAGAACAAAAAGCATAAATTAATGCTTGACTATCACCAAAGCTTATTACGGCTGTTTGCCAAAAATAAAATGAATAATGAACTTAATTATTATTTCTTCGTGCCGTGAAAATGATACATTTACGGATATCCGTGTTAGAGAGATTAAAATTTCCATTATTTAAGGCCGTAAATTCAAAGTGATACATTCACGGATATCCGTGTCAGAGAGATGAAAATTTCCATGATTTAAAGCAACGAAAGTGATACATTCACGGATATCCGTGTTATAAAGATGATTTAAGGCTATAAATTCAATGAAAGTGATACATTCACGGATATCCGTGTTAGAGAGATAAAAATTTCCATGGGTTAAGGCTATAAATTCCATGAAAATGATACATAAACACAGATCAACATTTTCTACAGGGATATTGTTGAGGAAAGAAAGGCGAAAAAATAATTTTACCGATTAATTCTTGAAACGCGCTATTTAATATATATATCATCATCAACTAATAACACATTATACTAAATTTTTTTTTTTAATAATGGCACGTTTCTAAGAAGTGAAACAAATAAAACTTAAAAGGTATTAGAGAGGAAGCCCCCGCTTTCAAAGATCTGGTTTTGTCTGAATTTTGGGGGGGGGGATTTTCAATGTTACTCAAAATTATTTGTGTAATGAAACCATTTATGGACGATCACTTTATGTTACATTTGTGTCAAAAAACCCATTTTAGAAATTGATTGAGCTTTAAAATATCTATGATCATCAATAAATATTATTAAACTTTTTTTTTATGAAATTTACAGATTTTTACGTATTTTTTTAAAAATGTATACTGACACGATATAGGAATTTATTTTGTCTAACTGGTTATGTTTCATTTTTGTCGAACAAATTCTAAAGTTAATATTGTATAAGAACCTAATTATAGAAGCATTGTAATATTATTACTTGACACGTTCCTAAACTTACTGCGCCTATATGCATTGCTTTGTGTAACAAGAAATAATTAAAAATCATGCCAATAAGACATAATATGATTGACTTATTATACCAATTGATATTGTCTGATAATTATTCCAGAATCGTCTTATAATCTTAATTTTGTTTGGTGTTCCGTACGGCCGAATCGAGTTGATTGAGAACTTGTTTCAACTTTTCAATGTCAAAATTTTGTAATTATGTCGATCAATTTAACGTTAATTGGACGTAACGCGCAAGCTGCGGGTCAACCGGATGACTCGAATATGGAGGTTGGTTGATAATTTTGTAGATCGTTCAATTTTATAGTGACCCGCAGATTTATCATCTATAATGACAAAATTTTAAATTTTTATTTTCGTAATGTTGTAGTAATTGATTTAGAATGTAATATCCGACGGATATCCGGATAACGGATATCCAAAGTGTAATTTATGTATAGCGAATTTATTGCTATATATAAAATCGAAATAAATTTTATGACTAAAACATCAATTACGTAAAGAATATTTATTCCAAAATTTTTTGCTTCAAACAATTATTTGTAACTTTAAATTACAATTTTACTGAAAATTCAAACGGACAACGGATCTAGTCGATACTCAAATAACAGAAATTTTTTTTTTTTTCATTAGAGTCACGATTAAAATTCATTTTTTTTATTACTAAATTTTATTTATTTTATTTTTATTTTTATTTTTAATAATAAAGACAGAAGCGGGGACGGAGAGAAAACGAAAAGCACGCACACTAAAAGTGGAACCGTTAAACTTAAACTATAGTATATCTAATCCAACCTCCAGGTCTTACAATGTAAGAAGACAAGAAGTCTCCTCTGCCTCTTCTCCTTTCGGAGTCGATGGCAGTGGACGGAAATCCTAACCACACCCAACTCAAAAAACAGAAGTAATACACTAACACAAACACTCCACCAAGGCATAACCAGGATTTATATCTGTGCGAACGAACCAAACAATAAAAAAATATTCTACCTAATACAGTAAATCAGAAGCTACCCTACCGGATATCCAAAGTTACTAGTACACAGGCTAAAAAAAACAGATTTAGAAAGTATTACTAAATTTTAAATTTGTATATATGTTTCAAATTAAAAAATCATTAAAATCACGTGATTGAATTAATATTGACTTTTGATTGGACAGAAATAAATAATGTGATAATACTTCTCTGTAATTCTGGCTGAAATTATTGATTTTAGCTAGAATTAAGATTCTTATTTAAGACTCTTATTTTAAGACTTTATTAATGTTGACTAGAATTAAAGCTTATATTCCAGCCAAAATTATTTTGACTGAAATCTTAGATTCGATTAATCGAATCTTTAATCGATTCTTAAGATTCGATTTTCGATTAAATCGATTCTAATCCCTATTAGTTTAATAAAGTTACTGTACTATCTTATAATTATTATGAATACAGATAATTTGATATATAATGGAATTTTACAATGGATACCGCAGATACAATATCTAAATAGAATAATTATTTATCATTCCAATATTAACTTTAATAAATAATATAATTATATGAGTTACGAAGAAAAACTATAAATTAAAAGTACTAGATATTAATGATATGTAATTACTTTCGTTTATTATTCTTGTAATCCTAATTATAATTTATCTACAGTGCGTAGACAAACCATAGCTAGATGTATATAATCTTTTTCTAAAAAAAAAAAAAAATTTTTAAACAGACGATAACTATTTATAAAAAAAAGAATTTGAGATTTCTTCTTTTTTTAAAAAAATATCCGTAAATAACTGAGTATTTAATAATAATTATACCAAAAATATGACTATAAAAATTGTATAGATAGAAGGAAAAATTTCTAAACCGTAGATGTCCAAATTCTAATTCATGATTTGCAAGACTTTTTCTCCAGCCTTATTCTTACTATCCATCAGAAATTTTTTTTCAATTTAGATAACAATTTCAACGAATATTTTTCTACTGGATACTTTGGAATGTCATTAAAGGAGTATCAAGAATGGGTTGATCCGATTTTATCACGATTTTATCACGATTTTGGCACGATTTTGGCACGATGATAAATTTCTGCGATTTTCATGGATTTGGATGGCACCGAAAAATCCGGATTTATTTACCGGTACAAATGCCGGTTACATGTGATTTCGGATAGAATTAAACGAATTGAAACTTTACAATAATTATAAAAAAAAAATTTTTTTAACGTTAAAATTTTAAATATAAAAAAAACAATAATAAAGTTTTGAATCAATATTCTGTGATGTGCAACATTTTAACTTTATGTTCTTTATGTTTCTAATATAATTATTCCTAATATATTGTATTCTTATTAGAAACTTTCAAGGTTCTAGGGATAGTTTGACGATTTTTAGAACTATAATATCATTATTCATTTTCTCTAATGATTTAAAATTTAAACGAACATTTTTTAACCGTAAGGTTATTAAGTGACTCTTCTTTAAAATATGCATGAGTTATAAAAAAAAAAAGCTATAGTGAAGGGAAAGAAAAAAAAAAAAAAAATTGGAATTGATCGTAATTGAGAACGATTAACCGGCATGTGTAACCGGAAAATAAATCCGATTACCATTTTTCAGGTCGTTATTGGCGATTTACATTAATTCTTGAAATTCCGGCCAAAATTATGATCAGCATTTCGCTTTATATCGTCAATTTTGGCTGATCCGAATTTGCGAAAAATCATAAAATTACCCAATTTCTGTAATTTCTGTACCCGTCCATTCTGGACACCTATCAGAAGAATCATATTTCCAACATTGTTTAATAATCCTGAATCATTTGTTTATTAAGCAGGGTTTTTACGCTCCATTACTTCTAGGACATTTTTTCTGCAAATTTAAATGCCAAGTAGCTAATAAATTACTTATGTTTATGTTTATAAATTCATTTTTTATGGGAAATTATAAACCTTTAAATTTATCAACGGTCACTCTCTAGTAACAATAAAATCAGTGGATATATTATTAATTTATCTCATTAATATGCTTTATGAGTATAATTTAATACTTAAAAAATAGTAACAAAAAAAAAATGAAAATGTCTCTTGACTTGTTGAAATTACAATTAATACGTAAATCGGTCACTTAATAATGTAACAATTAATACGTAAATCGGTCACTTAATAATGTATAACATATTAAAATATTATGAAGTATAGTACAAACGTTATTTAGCAAATATTTTTTAACATAAAATCCTTTGAATGATATAGTTTGAAGACAACTGAAAAATACACTTTTATTAAAAATTAATTGCGTACGTTAATATCGTACACCCTCGCTGTACATTAAGGAACCCGACGTGTATATGACTAATCGTAACTCTGGCCGAAATTATGATAATTCTGGTCAAAAATTTGTCACCCAGATTGTGATCCCCAACGTTAAGCAATGAATTAGCTTGTTTAATGGACAGAAAAATTCAGAATGAGTGCATTGTATCTAATTTCGAGAATTCCCGAAAATATTTGTATAAAAGAGGATCAAACGAAATTGATAAACTTATATATTTGGATTGTTGTTTGTGTTTTATATGAAATAATTCAATGTATACGAATTTATCGCACTTGCATGTATGTTGAATCCTACGATTTTGAAGAGAACATGACAATTATGATTGAGAATGCTGTGATTACTTTGGAATGGAAAGAACTTTTCAGAGTTTCTTTTGTCCTTCTTGTTCGCGTTCTTCACATAAATGTCTTGACAGATATCAAGTTGATTGCGAGTTTACACAACTATAAAGAACATTTAGACATGGACAAATTATGATAAAATAAGAGAAAATTAATTTATTTAAATTACAAACTAAGAATAATTGGCGTGTTACTATATTCCTAGTGTTTAAATAAACCTATTATAATAACGTTGTAATAAATATTATAATTTGTAGTAAAAATAATTTAAAACCCATCTAATAATAATTAAAGATTAATATTTAGAATTAATTTTTTTGAAATTATTTTGTAGTAATGAATTTAATTACCATTAGGAATTTCGAATTCTTCTTGTTCTTCCGGATGAAGATTTGGATTATTACAAATTTCATCATTATCTAAAAAATAAAAATATAAGTATAATGATATCGATATATTATGTTACTGCTAAATTTGCTAAATTTACACACCATCAACATCTTGATTCTTTACTTGTTGATTTATAATACTTCTTTCATGATAATTTTGATTATCTAATAGTATAATTACATTAGTCGAAGTTTTTGCTTTAATAAAAAAAAATTATATACAGTATCTGCGTTATTTACTCACTATTACTTGGCCCTATATTTAGTTTTTGAAGTACTTTAGACAGTGCTTTACTATTTCCTATATTTTCAATATAAAATTAATACATTTTGCGGGTTTAATTGAAATTAGATGACTAATATTCACCTTTAAAAATACTATTTGATTTTGATGTATTATTATTTTTATCATTTGATTTATTGAAATCATCAACTAAAAAAAGAAGAAAGAAATTTTAGGATTAGAATATATAAGCAATGATAATATTATAAATTGAAATACTTACTATTTTCAGGAATACTAAAACTATATGGTTTACTATGAAAAGCTTTTTAAAAAAATAAAATAAATAAATAATATTAAAACTATTATAAATAGAATTCTAAAAACATTAGACTATTTACCTTCTTGCTCTTCTATAATTTTTTCCATAAAATAAATAAATAAATAGTAATTAATTTAAATTCAACAATATTATGAAAAAAAATTAAATTATACCTTCAGTTGCATTTTTTGGTTCTGGCAAATTATTTAGATTATAAATTTTACTTGCATGTCCTGCATTATAACAGCTCATTATTTCCGAAGTACTTACATTATTTAAATTATTAGCGTTAGTTTTTTTGAATTTTCTTAAGAATTTTCTAAAAATATTTTTTTTATTATAACTAGTTGGTACATTTGGGTAATATAACCTATTAATATCATTAATCATATCTGATAACATTTTAATATCAGGTCTTTTTTTTGGATCAGCATCCCAACATTGCTTCATTAATTCTACATATTTTAAAGGAGTTTCTGATACAATTGTTGGTCTCTTACCATTGACAATATTCATTGCAAGATTATAATCTTTTTTATAATTAGCAAAAGGTGGTTGTCCAGATGAAATTTCCCACATTATCATTGCAATACTATATATGTCAGATGCAAATGAGTATTCTTTTCCAACTATAGCTTCTGGTGCAATATAAGGAAGATTTCCATATATACCTCCTAATGGCTTGTCAACAGGTCCACAGAATCCAAGATCACTAATAAGCCAATAATTAGAACTTTGATTATATAATATATTTCCTGAATGTAAATCTCTATGAACTACATTTTCTTTATGAATACTATCAAGTGCATTAATTACATGATATGCAATTGTAATTTTTTCGTTCCATGAAAGTTGATCATGATACTGGCGTAAATAATCTTTTAAATCCATATCTAATTTCATCATTACAAGCATATATTTTCCATCTAATGGGTTTCGAGTCAACCCATAACATTTTACTATATCTGGCCATTTATTACTTATAGTTAGGTGAGATTTGGCCTACAAAATATTAAAAGTATTATAATTTAAATATTATTTTGATTTTTAAAACACTTTTAGATTACATACCTCATCAAACCAGATTCTATCAGCCCTTTCAATATTTACTAACTTTTTAAGTATAATTTCCATGGATCCACATCTTTTTAATTGTTGTTCTTTTGAATCCCATTCATGATATCGACCACCAATCCAATCTGCTTTGTAGATTTCAGAGAATCCACCTTCAGTTAGATACTTGATATCTTGTAAATTATTATACGGAATCCATTCAATAATACTATCTGGTGCACGTGAATCCATTTGACATTCCTGAATTAGATTATTAATACCATTATTTTCAGATGTCCAACTTGAAAATTTTGATTTTAAATAATTTCTAATACAATATTCACAATATAATTTTGCTAAACATTTTTGTTGACAGTTTTTACAAACTCTTCTTTTCCCCTCATCATAAAGAATTTTAGTATAATCATATTCTTTTTTTAATAATTCTTTTGCTTCTAATTTTTCATTTTCCGTTAGAGATTCATCATTAAGAATAAATTGTTTCATAGATTTATAATTTTCATCTACGCTCACTGAGTCACTATTAGCTAATGCATATGCTTTGTTAAGAACAGTATAAACGGCGGCTGACATAGTAACTTAGAAGAAAAGATTAAAATGTAAATTTTTTAAATTTAAAAAAGTTAGTTATAAAAACTTTTTTTTTCGTTAGACGATGTTTACGGTTTTTAACTCCGGAGTTTGTTTCACTAATCTACAATGTGCATATTCCTAAATTGGTAGAAATATGGAATATCATTACGTCACATTTAATTATTTATTATCTGTTATATTAAAAAAGAAAAAGAAAACGTCATCTGATTGAATAGCTAAAATAATAATTTTCCTAACCTTATCTGTGAATAAAATAAGGGGAACAAGATTATTAAAGAGATATAATAATTATGGTTTAGCAAGATATTGGTTACTTCAAATTAAAGTCACGTCATGCATAATATTCATAGTATTATAAATATTGCGCAGTACAAGCTTGACGTATCGATATTTTCTAATATATACCGTATAACATGTGAATTATAACTTTAAACAATACTGTCAAAATAACCATAAAATGTAAAAACAATACACTTTTTAAGATAAAATCAGATGAGCGATGATAACCGTTTCATAAAAATTTATAAACTGGATAAATTAGAATATGAAGTGTAGTAGGACCCCGAACAATACTGATATAGGTAAGGTCCAGAAAAAAAAATTTACTATTAGCTGTACGCAGCACTTTTGACTATGATCAGTACGCATTTATAGCTCCTAACCCCTGAAATTTTTACAAAATACGCATTTTAATCCTCTAACTTCAAGTCAGTTTTTAAAATTTTAATTGGCTCTTTTATTAGTTGTATCAAATTGTTCTCTGTCTTCGTCTGCTTTACATCATGAACATGCTACATATCTATTTAAATAATCTTCTTCATACCTGTGGTTTAATTTGATTCCTTTTTCACATATACATACTACTTTTTTTGCATTAACAATATGAGTAACGTATTTATGTTAGCCAATCACTCTTTACCATATTTCCAATGAAACATTATGTATGCAATACAGAAAAGATTTTTTTCGAAAAAAAAAAAAAATTTATTTTAAGATGATCGTTAAATAAAATTAATTATTATTTTTTATTTCCAAAAATATACCAAAAATAAGCAAATCCAACATCTTACCATCCTAAAATCCAATCAAAATTACGCAAAATCAAATTCTAACCTTATCAAAATTTTTTGATGATTGTACGCATTCCTAAATTCTAACATATTGAGAGCTACTAAGATAACGACGCATCTTCAGCTCCTACCTATATTAGTATTGTTTGGGGTCCTAGTGTAGTTAATATAATAATAATTTATGTATTGATTTTTGAACATATAACTAGCGGTGGGCCCAACCTCTTATATTCGGTATTGTATTAGATAGAGGAATAATATTATACTGTATAATATATATTCCAGGATAAAGTAAATTACACAATAAACCGGATCTGTAACGGATTATTATAGTACAATAATAAATTTATTTTTGATATATCGAATTTCTTGATATATCGGACTTTTCTAATGGAAGGATGAGTCGGTTTGTCGAGGCTGCCTGTGTATATCACACTAACAAAAAGCTACATATACTTTTAAGTATACTAGAGAAATAAATGTTACTGGATAATTTGCTCAATGAATTACTCGTGCTAGTATTTCTATATGAACTTAATTGCAGAAACTATAAATATTCATAAGGCAAATTATTATCAATAGTCTATTCCATTTAATATTATTGTTGATACCATGTGTATAATCTGAATTAATGGAGCATATTAGAATTTTTCTAATAAAACTGACAGTACTAGTATTTTTTTTGCACATTTATAATTTTGTATGGGCTATAAAATTATTCCAAGGCCCTATATTCATATGTTTATTTGTTCGTTATTTTATTATACAAACAAAAACCTCGCTTCCAGCCTAATAAATCCAATATCAGTATTAAATGGAGACAATGTCTTGTTTACTTCGGATGCAGGTTTAATACAAGTAAATTTAATGGATTTCACATATAAAAGTCAGCAATAACGTTTTCTTATCTTTTTATCTGAAGTGGCAATTTGTCGGCGTTTGGTATTCATAGGAAGTTAATTAATTATTTAACGTCTGAAAGACTATTTACATTGTTTTTACTTATATTTAAATTACAACCTCCACGCAATTTCAAATTAGGTGAATTTTCATCAATCTGAGTTAAGATTTTTCGCGTTTTCGGCGTTTTTTCATGTCAAAAAAAAAATCAAAAACGAAAAATATATAAAGCAAAGTAAAAATACAAAAAGATAATTATGACAGGGGTATCTTATGATGAAGATCCTAAGACAAATATGACAAGCATTATCCGATATTTCAGGCATTATCAGTGGATGTAATACTCATATAGAAAAACTTATAGTAATGCCTTGTAAACAATAAGAAGGAAAAACTTTCCCAACATCGAAAGACGTTGACCAAACTTACAGAGCATTTCGGTGTAACTTTTTCATTTATTATTTTTTTTAAACCGGATTGTAAATGTTCCAATTCCTTCGTTTTTTTATAATTATGTTACCATGTTCTTTCTAAAATTTAAAAAATTCAAAAAAAATTTAGATTATTTAATTGGATTTAGCAATTTCCAGTAAATTCTAGTAAGATAGTTTAAAAACATATATTTGCATAATTACAAGTGCTGGTAATCATATTAATAATGAATAAACGCATTAGACAAATATTTATATTTATTACAAAACTTAAAAAAATATATACCTAAATAATAATATAATACAAATATAGTACAAATAATATATAAATGTATAAAAAGTGATTTACTTAAATTACAAACTAAGAATACTAAGATAAACTCAGTGTTTAAATAAATCAAATAAAATAAAATATAATTGATATTTAATAAATAATATAATAATAATTATTATAATTGATAGTAAAATAATTTAAAATCCGTCTAAAATAAATTAAAAATTAGTAGTTTGAATTAATTTTGAAATTATTTTGTCATAATTAAATGTATTTACTTACCATCAGTAATTTCGAGTTCATTTTGTTCTTCTGGATGAAGATTTGGATTATTATAAATGCCATCATTATCTGTAAAGTAAAATATAATTAAATAATACGATTATGTTATGTTTCTACTACTAAATTTATAAACATTTGCATATCGTCAGAATCTTGCTGCTTTATTTGTTGTTTTTAAAATTCTCTTTTATATTATTTTAATTATACTACTCTGTATAAAATACGACATCGATTATTACTTTCTAAAAAATATCATTGCCTTATTTAATCAAAGTTTATGTTTTGACATATGCATTAATTACTTACTATTATTGTAGTACTTATATATTTTTAATACAAGATTAATATATTGTGATTTTTTAAGCGAAATTTAAATGATTAGTAAATACTATTTATTTTGATGAATCATTAACTAAGAAAAATTTCAGATGGGAAATACTTACTACTACTATTTTCAGGGATATTGAAACTATAAGGTTTACTATGGAAAGCTTTAAAAAATAAATAATGAATATTCCATTAAATTATATTTAAAAATTTTAAAAAGATTTTACGAATATGATAAAATGTATACCTTCTTGCCCTTCTATTATTATTTTTTTTTTTTAAAAAAAAAATGGTAATTAAAAATTAATTTAAATATTAAACCGTTACAATTTTAAAATGTACCTTCAGTTGCATTTCTTGGTTCAGGTAAATTATCAAATTGATAAATTTTACTTATAGATAATTTACTACTTGCGTAATAATAACAACTTAATATTTCTAAATTATTGACTTTTTTAAAATTTTCCGGAGCGTTTTCATAATATGATTTATTAATTTCTCTTATTTTCTTCCGAATGGAATAAACATCAGGTCTTTTTGTTGGATCAGCATCCCAACATTGTTCCATTAATTCTTTGTATTTTAAAGGAGTTCCTGATACAAACTTTGGTCTCATACCATTAACAATATCCATTGCAAGATCATAGTCATCTTCATAATTAGCAAAAGGTGGCTGTCCAGATGAAATTTCCCACATTATCATTGCAATACTATATATATCAGATGCAGAAATATATCCTTTTCCGACAATAACTTCTGGCGCAATATAAGGAAGATTTCCATATATACTTTTTAATGGTTTATCAGCAGGCCCACAAAATCCAAGATCACTAATATACCAAATATTACTATATTGATGATATAATATATTTCCTGAATGTAAATCTTTATGAATTGCATTTCCTTTATGGATACTACTAAGTGAACGATTTACATAATATACAATATTAGTTCTCTCTTTCCATGTAAGTCTATTATGATTTCGTTGTAAATATTATCTTAAATTAGTATCTAATTTTCTCATTGCAAGAATATAGTTCCCATCTAGTGGGTCTTGGGTTAAACCATAACATTGTACTACGTTTGACCATTCGCTAGTTATAGTTAGATGAGATTTGGCCTACAAAACATTAAAGTATCTTAATTTTTAATTTGTTTTTAATTTCTATCATTTTTTTATATTACATACCTCATCAAACCAACTTCTATTAGCGTTTTCGATATTTTCCAACTTTTTAAGAACTACTTTCCTAATAGTTTTAGATAATATTAGTTGTTGTTGCTCAGAATTCCACTTTTTATATCTTCTACCAATCAAATCTGCTGTATAAATTTCAGAACAACCACCTCTAGTTAGATATTCAATATTTTGAAATTTATTATATGGAATCCATTCAACTATCATGTCAGGAGCACGTGATTCCATTTGACATTTCTTAATTAAATCATCAATATCATTATTTCCAGACGTCCAATTTGAAAATTTCGCTTTCAAATAATTTCTAATACAATATTCACAATATGATATTGCCAAACATTCATTTTTGCAGTCTTCACAAACTCTTCTTTTTCCTTCATTATAACGGATTTTTCTACAGTCATGACTCTTATTTAATTTCTTTATTGTTACTGATTTTTCTTCTTTCGTAAGGGATTTATCAGCAAGAATAGTTTGTTTTCTAAATTCATGTCGTTTTTCGATATTATCGTAAATATTATAATCAGTTAATATAAATGCTTTATTTATCATATAGAAAACCAATTCTTTTCGAATAGTTGACATAGTAAATTTAGACAAATTTTTAAAAAAAAAGATTTAGAATAATTTTTTTATTTTTTAAACACCGAAGTTGCTTAATTAATCTACAATTTGAATAAATTACATATTTTCAAATTGATATCTATAGTCTTTGGGTAGTTTATTCTTTACGTTTTTATATTTGTTTTCGTTTTTTTGGTCCTACCGTTTTCGGTTTTTTTGGTCATTTTTCATTTTTCTGGATGGCGCAGCAAAACAGGATATAAGCTCGTTCTTCTGGATAAAAAAGGAAAATTTCGGATTTTAGAAGACCAATAGTATCGTATGTAAGTACTTCTGGAATAAATTTATCCGTTAAACCTGTTAAAAATGTGCCGCGGCGATCTTGATCATGTGACCAAGATAGATAGGTGACATGCTCAGGAAGGCTTAGTTAATTCATCGGCAACAATGTACTTTTTAGTACAAAAATTTGTTTTATTTTTTTTTTAAATAGGTCACTTTAATTTTATACATCAGATAACAGTGTATATGATAGTATTATTGTATCTGCTCATGTATGTTAAATCGATACGTTAGAATAAAAAAACAATTAATTGCCAATCTGGATAAGATTGGCATTATCGCTATACAAACGTATTAGTAAATTTTGGAGCAAATTTATTATGATTTTTTATCATTTTGGAATCTGAGCTGCGTATATGGTTAAGTCATAAATATTAAAGCATAATTATTGATTTATTTTACTATATATGTACATATACCAATTAAGTGTTTTTTGACAAATTTTCAAAGATTTTCTTAAAATATAAAAGGTACTTTCTTATAAGCTCAAAAATCAATTCTTCGAATTTATAATTATTTCTATGCACAGTAGATTTAATTTTATTAAGTACCTTATCCCCAAAATCAAAGTGCCGATCTTTATCCGGATTGCCAATTAAAAATAATAAATGTGGAATATCATTTTCAATTATTATTAGAGGAAGTACAAACATTATGATGAACTATTTTTAAAAAATAAAAATTTTTATTAGTACCTACAGAAGCTTAGCTTTAATGGTAATACTTCAAATAGTAACAAAAATATTGTTTCCCGATTTGATAACTAAAATAATAATTTTATTAACAGTTAATATTCAAGCGAAAAATTAATAAAAAATAAGAATTTCAGAAATATGTATTAAATGTTAAAATATCAATCAATACTATTTATAATAATAAATATTGCGTAGTACAGGCAGTATGGAGCGAAATTTTTAAAATTATTTATTTGTAAATTTTTTTGAATTAATAAATTGTTTCATAAATATTAATAAATTGGACGAATTATAATAAGAATTGTAATTAAAATTAGAGATAATACTATATAATAAATTTAAAATAATTAAATTACCGCGAATATTTTTTATGTATTTAATTAATTCAAATAATAAGTAATTTTTTTTATCTTACAAAAAAAATTTAAGGCAGTAAGTAAATTGTACCTAACTTTCAGGAATACTTTAAAAAATATTTGTAATCAAATAATAAGTTCCAGCGACCATCATACTTGTAAATTTACTCAAATGACGAGGACATTTCAATCGTTATACAATAAAAAGTATAATAACGGATAAATGGATCGACAATCAATTATGCTTAAAAGTTAAAAGTTTACCCAATAGCCGATAAATTCTGCAGCATTACACAATAAATAAATATGCACGCCAATTTATGTTACGTAATGAACCAAATTTCTCAAACTCTTTCCATTAAATTGTTAAAATTTGAGTGTCCTGCTAAAATGTTACAATTTCCTATCGATTGCCTTAATGATATTATTGAATATTTAGAGGATGATTCAAATACTTTGTATTCATGCTTATTAGTCAGCCGAAACTCTGTCTCTTATACACATCTAGATGTGTATAAGAGACAGGTTTATCAGCAGGCCCACAAAATCCAAGATCACTAATATACCAGGAATCATTTATTTCTGAATATAATATATTTCCA